GCCTCCAGAAGACCTGGCAAGCACCTCTTTGCACTCCTGGGAGCCTGGAGCCACCGTGTCAGAAGACCAGCCACTCTGCAGGACAGAACACAGGTGTAGGCCACATGGAAAGGGAAGGACCCTGAGACCCCAGGCAATAAGGGCAGCCAGCTACCCCAGTGTCCCAGCTGAACCCGGTCCCCTGGTGTCGAGCCAGCTAAATGCAGAGACTATGTGCAAAGCAAACGGAATCCACCCAGATTGTGGAATTGTTAGCAGATAAAATGCTCATCGTTCTCAGCCCTTACGTTTGGGGATGGTTTGTCACACAGCAGAGAGCACTAGTGTGCCCGGTGTTTGCCTGGAGGGTTCGAGCGTGGCCACGTGGAGGACGGGCCTGCCTTTCCCTGTCTGCCCTGCCCTGCCCCGATCTGCCCTACATCCGGACAACACTGCAATGCAAGCCCCCGGGACAGCTGGCCCCCCTGCTAGGTTCGGCCAAAGGAGTCACTGGTAGAGAAGTGGAGGTCAGAAGGAGACGACGGCAGCGATCACCCTGTGGCACCCGGCCCTCACCTTCTCCATGCCAGCAGCCAAACGTCCTCTACAGCTGCACCTGCTACCAGCCTGGCCCTTCTTTCATGGTCCCAATCTCCCCTGTGCAGCTCTCCTCCCAGATCTCACCCCCACGGGAAGATTCCAGAACATGGCATATGGTAAATCAGCTCTTCTCACCGTCTCTTCAGCCCTATGCCAAGTAGCCACTTTCTGCACTTGCTAATCCGAGTTCCTCACCTCCTGCTGCAACCGCCTGCGTGACCAGTTCCCTGTATTAAGGCCCCTGCATCGCTGGCGTGGCTTCTGTCTTGCCGACTGGCCCTTGCTCTCCAGTCCTTGCTAGTAAGGGATGATCGCAGGGCCGAGATCCTCAGCTGGGGTTCCAGGATAGAGCTGCTCATGTCTGAGCTCAGATATGTTAGGATCCTTTTGAAGGTGGAACCCATCACGTGTGGAGGCACCAACCCGAGCTTTTATCAGCACCGGCTGATAGCAAGACCCTGGGGAATTAAGTAGCTGCCGTAGTCAGATGTCAGGGCAGCAAGGACGGCCACCAAGACCGCAGTGTGGGTGGACTGGACTGGAGTATATTTGGAAAGCTTGGGTATACCTTAAGGTGCAGTCACGGAACCAGAGTGCTCCAACAGCAGCCTTCAGAGGAATCTCTTATTTTTTTTTAAGATTTGTTTTACTTACTTATTTTTAAATAATCTCTACACCCAACACGGAGCGTGAACCCACAACCCCGACACCAAGAGTCACCTGCTCTACCGCCTAAGCCAGCCAGGTGCCCCGAGGAACATCTTATTATTGCGCTGGCAAAGTAGCAAAACTGAGGACCAGACTCCGAACTTCAAGTTGTAAACTATGATGTAAGTTGGACACACAGTTCTGCCAAGACTCTTACATTAAGGGCTGGTCATTAATGGAGGAGAAGTGCGACTTCTCTGTTGTTGTCGACCTTGATCACCTGCCTGAGCCAGTGTTGGTCAAGCCATGCGTTTTCTCTCCCTTTCCAGGCTGTGCAGCCCCCACATGCTAAAGGCATGGAGAGCTAGGCTCTGCATCCCCACGTATGAAGTATCTAGGTAAGTATGAACCTGCTCTCCATGCAAGATGTGTTTATCCTCCCCTCTTTGCTTAATAATGGACTTCGCTCTGTAGGTACTCAGGGATATTCACGTTGTACTTTGGGTTACAATCCGACACTACGTGACTTGTTTTCTTGCTCACACTGTTCCAGCTTCGACCCTCCACAGCCTGTCTCCCTTTGACATTCCCGCATCGTTTTCAAAAATTAACACGTAGACTTCATGTTTTTTACTACCATTTTAGATTCATAAAAACATTGAGTGGATCGTCGAGGAAGTCCCACGTGCCCATCCAGCCCTGGCATGCTTACGCCTTTTCAAAGCTGGAGTTGACTTTCAAAGGTTGACGTTTGACAGGCTGTGCCATAAACACCAGCAGGACTGAAGACGCGGTTTGCCCGTCTCCACGTCAGCGGGAGCCCCCACTCCCTCCTTGCCACAGTTGTTTCTGCTTGTGTTCTTTTATCACTTGGGTCTATGCTTACAGTTTTCGAAGCATATTAAATGTTTTAGGGTGGTGGTCAACTGGAATGTTGTTTTTTTTATTCCAAACGTGTTTTAAAATAATTTTAAAGCACTACGAAAAAGGGAATATAAGTGGCTTTTCGTGACAGTGACGTAACGTCTGCTTGAGCACAGAATTCCCCTGTTCCTCACAACCCGCATTTAATGGTTCTCTTACCACGAACTTCTTTACTCATAAGCCGGTGGAATGTTGCGGCTCTGGTGCCTGATGTGTGTGGCGGGGTAGGTGTGTCAGTTACTTTGGAGGCTGAGGAACTCCGAAAGGATCCTGGAGCTTCGCGGGGAGGGGGATGGGGACAAGGCTGCGTCCCCCGGCAGGTGAATCACACCTGGAACGTGGAGGTCTCGGGTCAGCAGGGGCCAGGGCTGATGGACTTGGAAGATTAAACCTCAAAGGTTAAGGACCGGACAGCACCTTTCAGGCTGAAGGTGACAGTGGGTGTGGCCCTCCTGACCGGTCCCCAGGCAGATGAAGCGGGTACGAATGTCCTTTCCTTTTGGGGCTTCTAAGCTTCATTAAAGCTCTTGCCCAGCCCGGCTCCCCCTGACCATGGTTCGGTCTCCAGCTCGGGGCTCCAGGGGCCCAGCAAGGGTGCTGAGCTGCTAGGACCCAGGCCGTCTGTCCAGATCCACGACTCCCGGGCCCCGTGGGGCCCGTCCACGGGGAATGGCGTGTCCTCCAACTGGTGGGGTCACACACTTCCACAAGGCCACTGCAGCCACCTCGGATGTCACTGCTACCTGGTGGGACGCTGGTCCACGTGTCTGCGTGGGTACCCGCAGGCTGAGCCCCCTGGCCCCCACATCACACAGGGCAGTTGGGTCATTACTCTCTGCAGAAGCGGAACTGGAGGCTGCCACGTGAACTTACAGATCACCTGCCCAAGGCCCCAGCCAGACCCAGGGTTCAAGGCCACGTCGAAGGCCCGGAGACGGCTGCTGCAAGGGCGCCTCTGCCTCAAAGCCGTTGTGATACCCACTCCAAGTCTCCAGCCCATTAGTCCTGAGGAATGTAAGGAAAGCCGCACGGGGGAAATCTGATAAGGCAGCTGAAAAAAGGAGTTAATTGGTTTCCTGGATGATTGCAGTGCTTACTCCCCTTTTGCTCAAACAAATGCTTCCCCCGAGTTCATAAAGCAGCCGGGCAGCCTCTTTTGGCCACAAAACCTTTAGCTTCGGGCTCTTGGAGGAGCGGCCACGGTCGGCTGAGGCCTCGCAGGCGCTTCGAACCACAGAGCTGTGAGCTCGGTGATGGCTTTGAAGCCCCCCCGACTCACGGGATGGCTCATTTACTTCTGTAAATATCCGTCATCAATTCCCCTGGCGGTGGGGAACCCGGTCCATCTCTGCCGAGAGGAGAAGGGCGTTCGTTCTTTGCCACATTTTCTACTCGTTGTGCCTCACGCAACAGCTAACAGGCCGCCGACCGCCATCAGAGGCGCTGCTGTTGTTGACAACACACAATTAGTTTGGATGTGTTCTTAGCCGTCTGGCGGGAAGGTACAGCACACAGAATGAAAGCCAGGAAAAGTCCCGTCCTGGGTTTTACACACTTCAGTTTGCACAAACAACTCCTTGCACGGTTCCTCGCTAGCATTTAACACTGGGCGTGTGACGCAGACGTGAGAGGACCGCATCAGAGCTGCGTGCCGAGTGTCGCTGTGTGTGCGCCCTCGGTACAGCGGCACCGCGGTCAGCGTGGGAAGACGGCCGGGCCGAGGACAGGGTGGTGTGGCCGCTCTCCTGCTGGCCAGCTCGAGTCGCCCAACTGCTCCCGCCTCTCTCTAACCTGAAAAACAAAACTGCAGTCGCTTATTAATTTCTGACCCAGTTAAAAGCGGCCAATGATCGTGTGCCACGAGATGTGACCTCGCCTCACTGTCCTTCTGCGGCTCCCCCGTCACCAGGAACCCGAGGACTGCTGTGTCATTGTCCCCGTGTTAAAAGTGGGGTGCGCCAGCGTTGGCTCCGTCTAGAACCGGGTCTTTGTTCTCTCCCGACAATTTTATTTAATTGTCATAGACTCTGGGTCTGGAGTTCTGTCTCGTCCAGCAAGAGAGCGGATGCAGGATTAAACACGTGAGAGAGGCTAATGTCCTGGAGGAGACAAGAGCCCCAAGCAAGGGTCCTCGCTCCGGATCAGAAGGCTCACAAGCTTGATGGACGTGCACAAAGAGACCATGAAATCTTGAACATTAGCTCATGGGTGTGAGGGAAAGCGGTTTTGAAGTTATGCGGTGCTAGGGGTTTGGGTCAGTACAAAACAAAGTGGGCAGAAGGTTGTTTGCAGCAGATGTGAGGCGGCACCTCTGTTTACCTGAACTGACCTAGGGGACAAGACAGGGCAAGCTACCTCAGGGTCAACAAGGCACCCTTCTTCTGCTACTTAGCTCCGCTCAGGGCAGCTTGGCCCAGCTGCAGTCTGTAGCCCTATTTACCTATTTACCTCTCGTGGTCCTTCCCTCCTGTGAAAACAGCTTCCTGCTATGGTACTAAGTTGGGGGCATTTCCACCCTGAATACCTAACCTTGCTTACCTCATCTTGGATGCTTTCATCCTGAGATTCCTTATCCCTATACCTTTGTCCTACACTTGGGGGGCCTTTGCCCCGTTTACCCAAACATGGGTGTGTTCATCCTGTGGCTTTGTAATTCTTCATGCCTTGTTCCTAAGCTTATTCCCCACATTTAATTCCTAATTCTCTATATTTGGCAGATTTGTTTTGCTTTGTTCTTAAAATTCAGAAGCTATGGAGAATTCAACGTAACAATCCTAAATGCTAACGACATCCACAACTTGATCACACTTAACTTTTTTATCTTCGGTTTACAGAATGGGGTCAAGGCCATGCAAACAGCAGGAAGGAAGAAGGAAGCGGGTGAGGAGGAGGAGATGGGAGGTCGGCTCGGCTGGCACAGCATTCGCGCATTCATGTGGTTCCAGGACGACATCCCAAGAGATTTCAGCCGGAAAACTGGCTACCTTCTCTGTTCAGGTGAGTGCTTCCCCCTGGGGTCCCACAGCACATTTCCAGGTAAACAGCCCACTGCTTGAGCTCTATTTCCAGAATTCCAGAAAGCCTTTTAGTGACAAACAAATAGGAGTTACCACCTTCCTGTGAGAAAAAAAACCCAGTCCAATTCCAATGCTCTGCTCTAATTCCCGTGGAACCTTGTTAGGCCCTCCCGCCCCTCAGTGATGGGTGCTACCCTCCCCCCACCCCCCCACCCCACGATGGGCACTAAGACCTTTTGTTTCAGTTCAGTCTTCCTACATTCCTAACTTTTCTTTTTAGTCTGGGAAACTGTCTCCGTATATTTTTATTTTATTGGCAATATTTTATACACATGACTCTCTAAAAATTAATTTTAAATTCACTTAATTAATTAACTAATTAAATTAAAGGCAAAAATAAGCTATTGGGACTAGACCAAAATAGGAAGCATTTGCACAGTGAAGGAAACCATCAACAAAATGAAAAGACAGCCTATGGATGGGAGAAGATATTTGCAAATGACATATCCAATAAAGGGTTAGTATCCAAAATATATAAAGAACTTATACAACCCAATACCCCCCAAAAAGCCAAACAACAACAACAAAACAAATAATCTGATTGAAAAATGGGCAGAGAACCTAAATAGACACTTCTCCAGAGAAGACATCCAGATGGCCAACATAGACATGAAAACATGCTCCCCATCACTCATCATCAGGGAAATGCAAATCAAACCACAATGAGATGCCACCTCACACCGGTCAGAATGGCTAAGATCGAAAGACTAGAGATAATGAGTTGACAAGGATGTGGAGAAAAAGGGACTCTCCTGCAAACTGCTGAAGCCACTGTGGAGATCAGTGTGCAGGGTCTTCAAAAAGTTAAAAATAAAATTATCATGTGACCCAGGACTCCATTACTGGTGTTTACCCAAAGAATGCAGAAACACTAATTCGAGAAGATACATACATTATTTATAAAGGCCAAGATATGGAAGCAGCCCAGTTGTCCATGGATAGACGGATGGCTAAAGAAGGTATGCTATATGTACAATGGAATATTACTAGGCCTTAAAAAAGGATGAGATCTTGCTGTTGTGATAACATGGATAGAGCTAGAGGGTATTGTGTTGAGTGAAATAAGTCAGAGAAAAGATAAATATGATCTCAGTTATATGTGGAACCTAAAAGACAAAACCAATGAACAAACAAAAACCAGAAAGACTCCTAAGTACAGAGAAAAAAAATGGCAGATGCAGAGGGAAGACAGGTGAGGGACAAGCGGGGGGAGGGGGGGTGAAGAGGACTCATGGGTACAAACTTCCAATTAAACTTCCATGACAAGCAAGTCAAGGGGCGCCTGGGGGGCAGGGAACGTAGTCGATAATATCGTAATGATGTCGTAAGGAGCCAGATGGTCACCGCACCTCCTGTGGCGAGCATTGTATAAAGTGCAGGATGGTTGTGCACCTGAAACTATTATACTGTATATCACGTGTACTTAAATGATAAAAAATAATTAGCTTTTTCTGTTCCCAAGATAACAAATGTACCTTGAAAAATTGAGAAGCCCCTAAAAACCACCTAAAGGGTAACAGTCGGGCATAACTGCACCCACAGGGGTGGCCACCGCTGGTGGTTTAGTATCCACGTGCCCGGCCTTCTCTGTGTGCGCGTGGGAACACACACCTGGATCTGCACACACTCTTCTGTGACCTCCTATCCCTTTCAGCATTCTATTTCTTCCGTTCCATGTGTAGAATCTACATCACCAGATAGGCTACAGCCTATTATAGTCTGCATAATACCCTGTCCTGATGGGTGTATCCAATTTATGTCACTAACTTCCCTCTTCATATTCTTGGACATCCATTTTGTTTTCAACTTTTTCTTGATTACATATGAACAACATTAAGCCCGTTTTAAAACAGCTTTGGACCCAAATCACTGGTGAAGCCCAGTTGTAAAGCCACGAATTTGGATTGAACAATTGCCCTAAGTCTTTTCCAAAAACGTTTCCTTGAAGCTGAATTTCTCATTTAGCCAATCCTATTAAGAGTTAGTATGATTTAGGGACGACTGCAGTCTTCCTGCTTCCACATGACTCTTCACAAAGGCGACAGGGCAGTACCGTGAGGTAGGAAGGGACGGGCTTGGGAGCCAGGGGACAAAGGGACGGGCTTGGGAGCCGGGGGACGAAGGGATGGGCTTGGGAGCCGGGGGAACAGAGATGTGGATCCCAGCTCTGCCGTCGGCCGTCTGTGTGACTGTGGAAAGGCACGGAAATACCCTAGACTGTGGCTTCCTGGTCACCGTGCGCAGCACAGGATAAAACACTACACTAACGAAACTCATAAACATTGTGCAGCTGCCTTGGACTATATTTCTGTCACAACGAAAAGTTATCGATGAGCCTTTTTCTCGGCAAACCTCCCCGACGCAGGAACTATGATCCCCCTTAGAAATAAGGAGACTGAGGCTCCAAGAAGTTGTGTGCCTTCCCTGAGTTCACACAGCGGTAAACGGCCAGAGGCTCGAACTCAGGAGTCTTACAAGCCGACGGTCTTCATGCTGTAGCTCACGAACCAATCATACCTTTGTAATAGGAATTTAAGTGACCAACTGGAATTTAACTTTAAAATCCTTATTTGAGGGGCGCCTGGGTGGCTCAGTCGGTTGAGCGTCCGACGTTGGCTCAGGTCATGATCTCATGGTCTGTGAGTTCGAGCCCCAAATCAGGCTCTGTGCTGACAGCTCAGAGCCTGGAGCCTGCTTTGGATTCTGTGTCTCCCTCTCTCTCTGCCCCTCCCCCGCTCATGTTCTGCCTCCCTCTCTCTCTCTCTCTCCCTCTCTCTCGGTCTCTCAAAAAAAAAATGATAAACATTAAAAAATTTTTAAAAGGTGGGGCGCCTGGGTGGTGCAGTCGGTTAAGCATCCGACTTCAGCCAGGTCACCATCTCGCAGTCCGTGAGTTCGAGCCCCGCGTCAGGCTCTGGGCTGAGGGCTCGGAGCCTGGAGCCTGTTTCCGATTCTGTGTCTCCCTCTCTCTCTGCCCCTCCCCCGTTCATGCTCTGTCTCTCTCTGTCCCAAAAATAAATAAACGTTGAAAAAAAAAATTTTGGGGGCGCCTGGGTGGCGCAGTCGGTTAAGCGTCCGACTTCAGCCAGGTCACGATCTCGCGGTCCGTGAGTTCGAGCCCCGCGTCGGGCTCTGGGCTGATGGCTCAGAGCCTGGAGCCTGTTTCCACTTCTGTGTCTCCCTCTCTCTCTGCCCCTCGCCCATTCATGCTCTGTCTCTCTCTGTCCCAAAAATAAAAATAAACGTTGAAAAAAAAAAAAAGAAAAAAAAAATTTTTTTTTTTTAAATTTTTTTTAAAGGTTAGGGGCACCTGGGTGGCTCAGTCAGTTGAGCGTCCGACTTCAGCTCAGGTCATGATCTCACAGTGCCTGAGTTTGAGCCCGTTGTCGGGCTCTGTGCTGACAGCTCAGAGCCTGGAGCTGCTTTGGATTCTGTGTCTCCCTCTCTCTCTGACCCTCCCCTGCTCACGCTCTGTCTCTGTCTCAAAAATAAATAAACATTAAAAAAATTTTTTAATCCTTATTTGAATAATAATGCTCTATAAAATGCATTCATACTTCTTATTTTAGCACTACTTAAAAACTAGGAGACAAAGAACCTAATATAAAATCGTCTCCTAAAATCTTTTATCATGTCTCAAAGCTGTCTTTTGGAAAATAACATTTCTTTTGCTTCCCAAAGGGGCCCTGTTTCCCTCCCCGAAGTCTCTGGTGTGTTGCATGGAAATGTCAGTTTCTTTGTAATTCTTTATTATTATTATTTATTAATTTCAAAGTTTTGTTTATTTTTGAGAGAGAGAGAGAGCACGTGCAGGGGAGGGGCAGAGAGAGAGGGAGACACAGAATCCCAAGCAGGCTCCGAGATGTCACTGCCCCACACGGGGCTGGAACCCACCAACCGTAAGATCATGACCGGAGCCGCAGTCCAGAGTGGGCACTTCACCTACTGAGCAGCCACACCTTCCCTCCTGGTGATCCGTCACCTCAGGAAACCACCTGGGATTCTGGCCAGAAGAGCTTCTGAAGACGGCGTTCAGCGCAGAAACACTCACTCCCACAGTGACGAGTGTAGCCAGATGGAAGAAGCGGTTCAGAACGACCTCACCTCCCTCCGTAAAGGCCGGGGACGGGGAGGGAGAGGAAAGGGCTCCCCGTGCTGTCTGCTGCCTGCGCTGGGCCCCGCACGACTTCCTGGCGCCCGGACACTTGCCCCGCTGGGCCCCAGATGCGCTGCCGCAGGTGACCCGGGAGAGCAGGCCAGGGGCGGCCCGGAGCCGGCCTCGTGCTGCCCTCTGCCGGCCAGAGCGCCGAACTGCAGCGGAGACAGGGACGGGCAGGTGCGCTGAACCCCTGGTGTCGCGGCAGGTGTACCGCTGGCCCCCGCCCTGGCCCTCAGTCTTTGCCTCACTGAGAAAAGCTGCTGTCACGACAACCCGTCTCGTTTTCAGAAGGCTCGCAAGGCCGATCCGCTCGTGATGGAGGAGAGAGGAGGACGCAGCCAAGTGTGCGGCGGATTTCTCCGGAAAGCCTGTGCTCAAACCTCCCACCGCCCCGTGGCTCTGGGCAGGCTCGCTCTCCCACCTCCAGGCTTCTCCGCCTTAAAACAGAAGGAGCACATGCACTTCCTCTGCAAGGTTTTGAAAGGCTTCAATAAGTCAATGTTTAACAATGCAGGTACTTGGTGAGCCTTTGCAAACCATGGCATAAAAGTGGTTACAGAATGTCTACTAGTGGGTTTCTAAGTTTGATTTCTTTTTTCCGGATTACACAAAAGGCTGCAGGGGAGACTCATTTCATTACCCTGAATCTATCTGAAGAGGAAGCCTAGTTCAGCATTACAGGTGTGTGAATATTGTATTGTTTCATGTATTGAAATCTTATCAGAGATAAATTGAAAAGTAGCAGAAGGTCTAAATATATA